AAATTTTTTCAGCTTAAGAGTGGGAGCTCTAGCTCAGCCTTAAGCTTTGGCTTTACCTAGTTATGGAAATTACACGCCGTCGGCCCTTTCTCAAGACTTAATCACTACAACACAAGCCGTTCAAAAATCTGAGCTGAAGGCGCCCTTGAGCGATACTGCAAATAGTCATATCTGTCTCAAGAAAAGTCCCAGTGCTACAAACGCCGAACCCCAATTCGTTGCTCTTACGATATTTCATGTCCGATACGTTTACTTATAAAGCGGGTTTTAAAACTGTTTAAAAATTTTTGTAATTGAAGTTAGTGAAAACATTTTAGTTTGACTGAGTTCTACCCCCTTATGATGCTATCCTAAATTTTTACATATTGGATACAAATACTCTTCCGTCGCGCCATGTCCGCGCGCTTCGGCGGGTTTCCGGTCACATGGTCATGGGATGACGAATAAGTGATGTTTTGTTTTGTTGATGCAGATACTGAGAAACGACAAGGTTCAACTCAACATGGTGAGTCAATGTTCACTTTGTGATGTTTGTCTAATAGTACCCAGATAAGTTCAAAGTTGTTTCTTGTATCATATGATTTTGTCTGGAAGCTATACACCAACTAGTGTACACTATTTCTGTACCACTTCTTAAGACCTCTTCCAGATCGTTACTTAAGATGAGTGCGTTCTAACCTCAAAGTCGTACAACTTTTCTGTCAAAAATATCAGGCTATCGATGGCCACACACCTGTTTGGCCGCTGCATGGCGTCTTAGTTCGGTCTCTTATACAGCCTGCCTCCTAGGCACTGGTCTCACGTTCTTGTTTCTCTTTCCAGTCGTACGAACAGGACGAAGAGGATCAGTACACCCAGTACGTCGGATCCTTTCCCAAGGAGTTTGGCTATGGACCCTTTGACGGCGATGGAGAAGGCCTCGCGGGACCGCTCACTGGCGAGCAAAAGCCGCGAATTCTTCTCATGGGACTACGTCGGTACGTGTTGTGACGTTCTTGGAATTAACATTGCTCTTTAACCTCCATTCAACCCACATCCATTTCATTACCAAATCTCTTTCCTCCAGGAGTGGCAAGTCTTCAATCCAGAAAGTGGTGTTTCACAAAATGTCACCAAATGAAACATTATTTCTTGAAAGCACAAACAAGATTATCAAAGATGATATTTCTAATTCATCATTTGTCCAGTTTCAAATTTGGGATTTTCCGGGTCAAATCGATTTTTTTGATCCAACATTCGATTCAGACATGATATTTGGGGGCTGTGGTGCTCTTGTATTTGTAATAGATGCTCAAGTATGTTTTACTTTTACTTCAAGATTTAGTCTAGTTTACTTTTCAAGACAATTGAATACAAATACAGTAATTCTTTTCAGGATGAATACAACGATGCACTTAATCGGCTACACCTGACTGTGACCAAGGCCCACAAGGTGAACCCTAGTATAAGATTTGAGGTCTTTATTCACAAAGTTGATGGCTTATCTGATGACTACAAAATGGAAACTCAAAGGGACATTCATCAAAGAGCTAATGATGATTTGCAAGAATCAGGTATGTTTGCTGTTCTATTTTGGTCAAACCAATTGAAAAGTTGAGCTTCTCCAAATATTTAATTTGCCATCATTTTCAGGTCAGGACCAAATTCATTTGAGCTTCCATCTAACATCAATTTATGATCACAGTATATTTGAAGCGTTCAGCAAAGTTGTTCAGAAACTCATCCCTCAACTTCCTACACTTGAAAATTTGCTGAATATTTTGATTTCGGTATGTTATCCTAACTATCTTTCTGTACACTTGGTGACAAAATCTGATCTACAGTGAGATACTTTTTCTATTTCTAGAATTCAGCCATTGAGAAAGCTTTTCTGTTTGATGTGGTCTCAAAGATATATATTGCCACTGATTTTTCACCTGTTGACATGCAGAGCTATGAGTTATGCTGTGACATGATTGATGTTGTGATTGATGTGTCTTGCATCTATGGGTTAGTGACATCAGAATTTACAGCTACTTAAACCAAGGGAAGTGTTTCAATTTATTTACTTCAGATATGATTTTACAGTTTACATGAAGATGCAGAGGCGGCAGCCTTTGACTCCCAGAGCTCCAGCCTTATCAAGCTTAACAATGGTACCATACTCTACTTGAGAGAAGTGAACAAATTTTTAGCTCTAGTCTGCATTTTGCGTGAAGCTAATTTTGACCGTCAAGGTGGGTGCTACATTCTAGTCCACAAAGTTCTTCTTGATCAAATGTCTTTACTTCTAGTTTCGGGAGTTTGTTTGGTGCTGAAATCCCAAATGTTTTTCTTCTAGGTGTCATTGATTATAACTTCCTATGCTTTCGAGAAGCTATTCAACAAGTTTTTGAGCTGCGCAGTAAGAACCAAATTGCTTACAATACTAGTTCTCAGGGTAATGCCTCAGCTGTTGGTGAATCAGGCCCAAATACATCAACTGGTACAAGTGGGACAAGTAATGGCTTGTCAAATCCCACTGCTATGGACAACTCTCCAAGTAATAATACTAATGAATCTCTTAAACAGACTCCCTCAGTAATTTATCCAGTATCGGTAACAGACTCAGCTGTTGCTTCTTGAAGTCTTTAAGGTCTAATCTTCATGTGATGGGTGAATTTGTTTTTAAATTGCATTTTCACTTCTAGTATCTTGAGAAAGCTCTCTTTCTTATTTTTGAGTTCACTGAAGACTTAATATGCTTGAGCAAATCGGCTGTACGTATCAGGTTTTGTTATTAGCATGGTCTATTCTGCTGACAAAGCTTTTTGTCTAGTCTAAATTTACTAAGTTCAGTAAAAAAAAAATATAAATAAATAAATATAGAAACAAAGCAACTTATATTTTAAGTATCAGAAGATCTCTCCTCACTGTAGAATTTGTTGCCTAACAATGAAGCTTTTAATACATAGTTGCTTTGATTTGTACCATTTGCTCATTTTGACTGACATGTTTCATATGTAAATGTCTTGCAAGTGTCATTCTTTTTCTTAAACACATATTCTAATGATTCATCTGGTCAAAGTTCTCCTTATGTAAAATTTATTTTTACTCATCCATTTTCCATTTTTTATTATCATAAATTTATCATCACATTATTTTGAATTTGTCATGGTGCTGTATCTCTTTTGTTATGTTCTGTCCCCATAATTTCTGCAGTCACATTTGTCATCTTCTGGCTGTGGTTGGGCTGTTACACTGTCCAATGGTATGAGATGCATCTTGTCAGGCATGTAAATCTATCAATTCATAAGTTTTTAGTTTTAGCTGTCTTATTCTCTTTAATTTGATAGATCATTCTAGGCTGCTTCAGAGCCTATATTTGGGCACTGTTTCTTGCTGTGTTAAGAATAGGTTAGATATTAATGTTAGTAACTTACTAAATGGTTACTGGCTTTGGAGATGAGTCCTGTGATGAAAAAGACTACACATTAATGCAATTTATGAGTTGTTGCACCTTGCCGTCTTTGTAATAATCATATATCTGTAATGTGTGATTATCATGACTAAACCTCCTATTCTGCCCTTAAGGTAATGATTAAGCAAAATGAATGATGGTGCTGCTGGTTTAGAAAGTTCCTAAGCACTCATTCATTTGATCAATTACTAGGTTGATGAGTTGTAATTATGTTAAAGTGTAAAAGTTTTATTTTTTTACTGAAAATTATCTATGTCTGTTATTGTTACCGCTATTTTCTTGTATGATATAGTCCTCAGTTTGGGGTTTTGGTTGATCAACCTCCCTTTTCATGATCAAATATAAAAATGAAGCAAAACACAAAGCTTTGTTTTCTAATGAGTCATTCTGCTTGAATTTCTTATTTACTAGGACCACCAGAAGTAGAGGTGCCAATGTTCTTTATGAGTTGCTGAATGGAGCACAAACTTAAGTTGAACAACTCACATGTATTTTGTGAAATTCTGAAGAGACTGTATTTTTGGAACTCATCTTTGATTAATGGCTCATGGTGAATTATTGATCACATACTTGAACTTTTGGTCTGAGACATTCAGTTTGTGAGCTGGCCTTACATTCATGGATCATGAGTTCCTTCTCTTTGTCTTCTTCTTGCATAAGTTGCTCAATATAATGTGAGTCATAAAGTAATGAACTGTTGTTATTTCATACAAGTAGTCTAACCCATCTTATGCGAGGAGAATCATGTTACAGGTGGTTAATGTCTGACTAGTTTTTATAATTGATTGTACCCTAATTTAACCTTGTATCGGGAGGTTCTTCACTGGAAACTTCTCATTAGTTGTTACCTTATTTCTTCTGTTTTTTCAGCTTAATTCAATTTGTCGAGGAATTCTGAATGAAACCTCAATGTAACTATTTTGCCAGGTGCCTTATTTTTAATATTTGTATTTTTGTTTTGTTTTGTCTAGCAGTCATGTCCAGTGCCATATATTGTGATGTGCGAGGGCAGACTTGAAAACGAACTTAGTGTTATGGTTTACTTATCCGATGTGCCTTAGCAGCAAGAATATCCTTAATACTACAGTAATGTATCACCAACCAGTAACTGATAACAGAGGGGTCAGTTTTAATTAATTAAATTCAAAGTTATTCGTGTGTGCTTCCAAAGTATTGAGATTGTAGTACAGGTATGATACCTACATGGAGGGAAATTTTGAATTTTCTCTTGAGAGCAATACCTTTGAAGCATGTACGGTAAAATATGTAAGATCCTTACCAATAAAGTATTGAGGGACTTTGTAGGCTACAAACCTATTTCATCACAACTTGTAAAGCAGACACTTTGCATTGTTAAAAATTTATTGCAATTGCAAAGTTTTTGATTCTTTCTAAAGTAAGTGAACCTGTGCAATGCAACGTTTTTATGAATGTTTTACTGTGTGTGGGCTGCCTTAAAAACTAACTTGAATAGGCTACACATTTTGCCCTAACAAACAATGCATCTGCAATGCAAGTGTCCTGTATCAAAACAATACCTGGAGGCACCCCCTACAAGTTTCCAAAGTTTTGCTCCTTTGAGAAAATTAACTCTGCTGTTAGAAGGGCCCTTGTACACATTAAAATACGAAAAAAGGGAACAATATAACCCCTAACACGTATTTTTGCTGTGTTTAGGCAAAGGTGCATCCCCATCCCCATGTCATATACTTGAATTGTCTGCTGGATGCATATTTTATGTACTTCATTGATGTCTGACAACTATGTTACTTGCATATGTATATAAAAGTGTTTATCTTTGTTACATCTTTTCTATCCTTCATTTCTCGAATCCTATCTGCTCCAGTGAAACATTTGTTCCAGGCTTACAGATTCACTCCACATTGTGTTTGGCGCCAGTTGAACTGAACTTTATTCATTTTAACTTTAAGCTGCATACACACTGTACAAAATTGTACCGTTATTGTTGATCCCTATAGAACAACAGATCAACTCATGATGGGTAATTCAGCGATTTTACAGGACTTGTGGCATTTATTGTCAAACATGTTGAAGTATATCGTAAGTATTCAACTTTTCAGGAAATAAAAACTGCTATAAAGTCCTGTCAAATCACTGAACTACTATTGTTAGTTCTCCCATGTTGAGAATTTTGAGTGATGTGATTACAGACCAAGAAAGTCAGGGAAGGTCAAAAATTATAAAATGGGTCGGGGAAGTCAGGAAAAAGCAGGCTGCAATCAGTAAAATTTGTTGACTGCCTCTTTGCAAATGAATGTGAAATAGCCAAGAATATCAGGGAAAAAATAATAAAAAGTCATGTTTTCCTCCTGTTTCTTGGACTACTGTTTACTTGTCTAAAAAGGAAGTAAAAATCGTTCAGGGAAAAGTCAGTGAGAATGAAAATTCAGAACTTCTAACAACCCTGATTTAAAGTACTGCTGAGGGGATGGCGGGGAATGAATCTAGTGGCAGCTCACAAATTCTTGAGTGGGCGTGAAGCATACCTTACTTTAAACCCTAATCGAATTTGCCAGTTCTTTCTGATAAATCCAACCCACCTATCCTGAAATCTCTAGTAAGTTGTAAGTAATACTTCCAAACATTCGTTTGCTTGGCCCGCGTTGCGCGTTGCCCCACGCGGAATTCCAGGCATTCTGCATATAGCAGAATCGAAATCGAAACGGGGGAACTTGGCCACAGTACCTTCCCCTCGAGGTAAACCATGCCCCCCCCCCTTCCCC